AGAAGCTTCTGTAAAGCAAAGGACACTGTCAATAAGACAGAAAGGCAACCTACTGAAAGGGAAATGATCTTCACCAACCCCACACCAGACAAAGGACTGATCTCCAAAATATATAAAGAACTCAAGAAATTAGAGATTAAAATTCTAAAGAACACAATTTAAAAATGGGATACTGAACTAAACAGAGAATTCTCAACAGAAGAATTTCAAATGGACAAAAGATACTTAAGGACATGTTCAACTTCCTTAGCTATGAGAGAAATGCAAAGCAAAACAACTTTGAGATACCATCTTACACCTGTCAGAATGGCTAAAAACAAAAGTATCAATGATAGTTTATGCTGGAAAGGATGTGGAGTAAGGAGAACACTCATCCATTGCTGGTGGGAATGCAAACTTGTGCAACCACTTTGGAAATCAGTGTGGAGGTTTCTCAGAAAATTGAGAGTCAACCTACCTCAGGATCCAGCAATACCACTCTTGGAAATATAACCAAAAGATGTTCAATCATACTACAAAAGCATTTGTGACACTATGTTCATAGTATCATTATTTGTAATAGCCAGAACCTGGAAACAACCTAGATGCCCCTCAACAGAAGAATGGATAAAGAAAGTGTGGCACATCTATATATTAGAGTAACTACTCAACAGAAAAAAACGAAGACATCTTGAATTCTGCATGCAAGTGGGTAGAATTAGAAAACACTATCCTGAGTGAGATAACCCAGATCAAATAATATGAATATGATATTGGTGCTGTGGAAGCACATTATGCTCCTTCAGCCAATAGCCTTTAAGATACCAGCCCACTATAAAAACAGCAGTAACCATATGTCCACTCTCTTGCTTCCGGATCCCACTTCCAGCTGCTAGATTGTTCCTGTTCATTCAGAAGATTGTTGTTCAGGACAGTGATCTCTAAGTTTTCCCCTTAAATAAAAGGCCCTTTTATTATCCATAATTCTGAACTGGTGTGGGATTGTTTTGTGACTTACGCCTTCATCTGGCACCCAACATGGGCCTCGAACCCACGACCCTAAGATTTAGAGTCTCGTGTTCTACTGACTCACTCATTAGTGGATAGTAACCATAAACAAAGGACACTGAGCCTATAGTTCATGATCCTAGAGAAGCTAAGTAATAAGGTGAATCATGATGGAAGAGGGTCACCTGTCTATGTGTTACTTTCATTGGTTAATAAAGAAACTGCCTTGGCCCTTTGATAGGACAGAAAATTAGGTGGGCGGAGTAAACAGAACAGAATGCTGGGAGGAAGAAGGCAGTAAGGCAGACGCTATAGCTCTCCTCTCCAAGATGGACGCAGGTTAAGATTCTTCCCGGTAAGTCACCACCTCGTGGTGCTACACAGATTATTAGAAATGGGTTAATCAAGATGTGAGAGTTAGCCAATAAGAGGCTAAAACTAATGGGCCAAGCAGTGTTTAAAATGAGTACAGTTTCCGTGTAATTATTTTGGGTAAAGCTAGCCAGGTGGCAGGCGGGAATGCAGCCTGCTGTTCCTTTCTACAGAACCCAAAGAAAAACATACATAGATCCACCTGGAAATTGGAAGCAGACAAGATCGCCTGACAAAATTTGGGAGCATGGGGAAGGGGAAAGAAGGAAGGGAAGAAGAGGAAGAGAAGGGGAGAAAGGGAGAGTTGGAGAGATCTTGAGTGAATGGGATGGTTGAGATGGAGGAAGGACAGATATGAGAGCAAGGAAAGAGATATCTTGATGGAAGGAGCCATTTTGAAGTTAGCAAGAAACCTGGCTCTAAAAAAATTTCCAGGAATCCACAAGGATGCCCCCAGCTAAGACCCTAAGCAATAGAGAGGGTGCCTGAACTGGCCTTGCCCTGCAGTCAGACTGATGATTATCTTAAATATCACCATAGAACCTTTGTCTACAACAGATGGAAACAGAGACAGAGACCCACATGGCAGCACTGAACTGAGCTCCCAAGGTCCAAATGAAGAGCAGAAAGAGGGAGAGTATGAGCAAGGAAGTCAAGACCATGAGGGGTTCACCCACTGAGACAATGTGCCTCAGCTAATGGGAACTCACCAACTCCAACTGAACTAGGAATGAACGAGCATGGGATCAAACTAGTCCCTCTGAATGTGGTTGGCAGTTGGGGCAGACCGAGGGACCAATGACAATGGCACTTGGATTTGTCTTTACTGCATGTACTGGCTTTTTGGGATCCTATTCTCTTTGGATGTATACCTTGCTCAACCTGGATGTAATGGGGATGGCTTTGGACTTCCTACAGGGCAGGGTGCCTTGCTCTCTCTTAAGATTGGAAGGGGGTTTGCAGGGAGGGTGTGTAGAGGGAGTGAGAGGGAAGAGGGAGGAGGGGAGGAAGTGGGAATTTGGATTGGTATTTTTTAAGTATAATAATAATAATGATAATAATAATAATAATAATAATAATAATAATAATAATAGGTATATACATATTGGAATAACATTGTTTCCGCACCTGGATTTGGCCTGACATCAGACAAAAACTTCATGTGCATTACAGCTATAAACAATCCTTTAGTTTTACTTTAGTTAAAGATACTAATGATCATGCCATTTTTTCTTTTCTAAATTTCTATCAAAGATTCAGAGATACTGTACACACATATACATGTTAGTTGTATAACAAACTTTAAAAACATAACACAAAGTTAAAATGAGACAAAGTTTAATTCCAAATGGAAATTCTGGAAATGACTATTTCAACATGAAGAATTTTGGCACAATTTTAAGATTATCAGAGAATGTAAACAGGGATGGCATTAAAGACAAATGCAGACGAGTACAGAGAATACTAAAGGATGGACTGTAGAGTATATTTTTCTTTTTGACTAAAAAATATATTTAGTGTCATTGTTCATCTCTTTCTTGTACTCCTTTGGGAGGAGCCAAGTCCTTGAATATTGAATAGAAAATATGCTAGTATATGCTCTACCACTGAAATGCATGCCTAGTCCTACTCTCCTATCTTTGGTTTCCATAGTGCAATGTATCCATCAGTTCTGGCCACTCCCATGAATTTTCTTCTTGGCATCCTCACTGATATCCATTGTAGGCACACCTGCACTTTTTCACATTTACAAGCATTACTCCATGATTCTTGTTTGCCCTGTATTCACTGCTTTTGTCAAGAATAGCTAGAATTTTCTAGAGAGACACAGAGAGTGGTTAATTATATAAGAAATAAAACAAATCTTCACATTTCCTTAGTTTTAAAATCACTCAGTGTTGTTCCTGATATCTTCAATTTTTTTGTGGAATTTTGAGCAACTGTTTTCAATAAAAGAACAAGTTTATTTTCCCTGACCATATTTCCTCTGCTTTGCAACCAAGCATGATTCAGCTCTGAACAATGGTAAATGGCTTTTCTTATCTAATAAATAAGCTTCTCAGAAACCACCAATATGGCAGTAGATTCATTTTCATTTTATTTTTAGAAGCTATATTATAGTTAATTTCTGTTTTAAATTTACTAACTTTACTAATCAATTCTTTCCTATGAATTGAGAATGCAGTAATGTGTGGTGTATCTGGAAATGTACATGTAATAATACATATGTGTAATGTGTTTCCAACAATAAACACAATGTTTTGCTATTTAATCCATTAAAAAAGTCACTGTCCTGTGCACTAAAGCATTTTGATATGATAGGCACGCATTATTAGTAAAAAATAAAATGTCATGGCATAGCAATATGCACAGAACTTAAAAAGCTATTAAGCTATAACTAGCTTGGTAGATTGTAGACAATATATGTCAGTAGGTGTGGCTGTACTCCAATACAACCTTACAAAAACTAAAACTTAAAGTTTGTGTAATATTCATGTCACAAAACGGCATATTTTGTATGTTTCTCCCTTTTTGATTTAGCTACATTGTGTCTGTCTTTGGAAGAATAGTCACAGACTTTACACTACTGAATAAATTTAGCGTTTTCATCATTTAAACTACTTCGCATATATTACTTACTTGATTTTCAACTTATTATCTGGTATACTTTATGTAAATAAAAAATTCTAAGAAGAGAGAACTTTTATCTCTCACTTGCTCTTCTCTCCAGATACAAAGAACAATGCCCAGCAGAGAGCAAACATCCAGTCATTATTTAGCAAATAAACAAAAACTGTCCCCTATTCTTTCTAGTCTAGTTGTCAAGTCTGAATCATAACAGCCTCTCAAGACATCAATACCTTTCTAAAATACATAAACCTAAAAGTAAAAATGGATCAAAAACTGAAGAACTATAAATAATAGGCCAAGTAGTTACATTTCATATTGCAGCAAACTTAACCTTATTTATCCTTTGATTTTTATTTCCCTCTTTCTAGTTTCTATATTCATTCTTACTTATACTCAAGTGGTAGATATTTTGATATTTTGAGTTATCACTAAGTTCATCCCATGCTTTTGGCAAATGATATCATATAAACATAACTCAATATAATGTAGCGCATGGCCACAATGAAAAGCATGTAAAGATTTTTTTCTTTTTTATGATTTATTTATTTATACAATGTTATGCCTGTATGTCTGCCTAGAGGCCAGAAGAAGGCACCAGATCTCATTACAGATGGTTGCTGGAAATTGAACTCAGGATCTCTGGAAGGGCAGCCAGGGCTCCTAACTGCTGAGCCATCTCCAGCCCCAAGTATGTAAAGTTTTAAAAAGTACAAAAATACTAATAAAATATACTGGGAGAGTCATAAAAAGAAAAACTCCTGAACCATCTCCTACAGCACTGAATTGAAGGAAATTAACAGTCTGGATCTAGTCTGGGATTTCTTACTTAAAGGCATAAGCAATTTTAAAAGAAAAAAAGCATCAAATTTCTCAGACAAAGCATTCTCATACCACGTGTACAACTTACTCTCTTGAGTAATTTTTCTACTAAAAATAAACACTTAAATAACACTTTAAAAATAATGCCAAACTCTGCCAACAAAAGACTAGAATAACCAAGTATTTCTTACTAGGTTGTTGTCGTCCTGGAAAGCATAGTGCAGAGTTGTTATCCACTTGTTGTCCCCATTCACCAGCACATCCCTCTCCTCACGAAAGCATGCTGTCTGAAAGGGAAAGAATACTTTATACAACCCTAGAAAACACCATCCAAACAACTGCTCAAAGTGTGTATCACAGTCTAAAATGTTTAATATTTTTTTACAATTGCTATAGTCCAAAGCAATCCAAAAAATTCACAGAATTGTTTAGCTTAATCACAGATCAACCAACCTATTACCTAGATGATTTAAATGTCCAAATTTGCCATTGTCACTTTAGTATTTTTTGTTTGTTTTCAAGACAAGGTTTCTCTGTAGCTTTAGAGCCTGTCCTGGAACTCACTCTGTAGGTTGGCCTAGAACTCATAGAAATCCACCTGTCTCTGCTTCCTGAGTGCTGGGATTAAAAGCACGTACCAACTCCACCTAGCACCCACTTTATCACTTTTAAAGACAAAAAAAAATGAACATTACAGGTGCCGTTGACTTTCTGATTATATTCTAAAGTAAGACTGAACTTGGGATCTTGTGTATGCAGGACAGTTTGTACTCATGAGTCATATCCTAAGCTCATACAGTCGGTACTAGTTATCCATATGAAGATTAAGTAGCCATGATACATGAAACAAATTATTATACAATTGGCCCTCGTATTCTCATGTATATACACAAAGAACTTATTTGGACAAACAGAATTCCCAAAGCCTGAAATTAAATAGTAGTATCTGAGAAAATACTACAAGTAAATGTAATCCATCTGAAATTGTGATTTAAACTGTCAGTCAAGTTACTAAAATCTATGACATTTTGCTTTAGATCACTTTAGGAGGAAAACAGAATCATGTTACATACTTCCTACTAAGTCCTGCTATATGACTTAACTGACCTAATATGGTTTGCACTTAATATTTCAGAAGGCTGACAGAGTCCAGGAAAGCCCTTTCCTGGCTTTATTTTACAATGACAGTGATCTGAAATTTTAAAGGCAATCCAGCTAAAATCCAGTAAGTAACTGCTGTGTCACCCGACTGACAATTTCAAACCAACAAAACTCAGAAGACTTCAGTCAAAACAATAAACTCTAATCTATCCTGAAATGCTCAGTAAAAAAAAATGTTTTAAAAGACAAATATACATAATGAACTATGACATACAATTGCAAACATATATAGAAGTAGAGAGTCTGACTAAATTCCTTCTCCCAAAGTACTGTCACACAATTACAGCAATTATTATATTACATTCTCACATACTCACCACCATCCCTCAGTTTCACTGGTGCACACATATATCCACATGCATACTTTATAGTCTCAGACATTACATGATCTAGTCATAAATATTTAATTATTAAGCTATCTTCTTAAAACACAGATACTAGATCTAGATACAAGGCATAGTCCACACATTTTGTTTAATACACTTTTTCCTCAGCTGCTTATGCCAACTGGGAAAGATATTACTGGTATCCTGTAAAGAGAAGCCAGGATGCTTCATCATACAGTGTAGAGAACAGCTTCTACAAGAAATGACTAAGGATCAATACTGGGTCTGTTAAGAAAAATCTGTTCTTCATCAGTATTAAGCCATGATAAACGGATACTCTAGTGGTGTGAAGGTGCTCTAGGGATTCAATCATAATTTCTGAAGGAAAAGAAAGCATATCTAAAGAAAAAAATTTTAATTCCCTCTACGATTTGAGTCTCTAAAAACACAACGAACAAGGAATGGTAGCATGTGCCTGTAATCACAGTGCTTAAGAGGAGAAGGCAAGATCACGAGTTCAAAGTCATCCTTGGCTGGCTAAAAAAATGACACTGCTTCAACAAACCAACACCTCACAACATAACACACACAGTGTTACCAGGACCACAGATCTAATTTAGATTTAGTTGCTCATTTTCCTAATTTTTTTTTTTTTGAGACAGGGTTTTTCTATGTAGCCCTGTCTGTCCTGGAACTTGCTCTGCAGACCAGCATGGCTTCAAACCAGAGATTCACCTCTGTGCCTCCTGAGTGCTGGGATTAAAGGCATACACACCACCACCACCTGGTTGATTTTCAAATTTCAACCAAGCATTTTGCTTGCCAGAGTGATTTAACTTTCATACACTTTTACATTTTTCTGTATTCAGTAATATGTTCTTTAAATTTTATGCTTAATGGATTACTGGGATAATGAGCAACAAGAATTCCTATGTTGAAACAGAAGTTAAATAAGGTCTATACATAAAGAATAATTCTGCAAAGCTATCACATGACTCTTAACACTCATAAAATACATTCATCAAATTAGCAATCCTATACAGCACATCAAAACTGCATGTATCGTGCCTTCAGGATGACTCAGTCAGTAAAAAATGCTTGCCATTCAATTCTGATGACCTGAGTCTAGTCCGTAGATCCCGGAGGAGGGGGAAAGATGATAAAATAATCTTCTGAAAGTTGTCCTCTAACCTCCGCACACATGTATAAATTGCAGGTTCATGTGCATACTCATACTTACATATCATGTACTTATACATGTATGTATCTGTGCACATGCATACATACATAGATACACACACATACAATCACAGAATAAATAGATGAAAATCAGTCACGAAGTATACTGATGATTATAGCTAGTTTGGCTTCTCATTTACTGGTAATAAAAATAAAGGGTTCTCTTCTTCACAAAATACTGTTACAGAGAAATTTTTCAATAATAGGATATTTAAAGTCTAAGATTTTCATTTTGAAAAATAAATGGAATTTATCTTAATATTTTCATTTTTATAGCAAGTTCTGAATTTAATCTTTTTGGTTGTTTAGGTGTGTGTGTATGTGTGTGTGTGTGTGTGTGTGTGTGTGTGTGTGAGAAAGAGAGAGAGAGAGAGAGAGAGAGAGAGAAAGAGAGCCTTGAACTTGTTATCTAACTAAGGATAAACTGGAATTCTTTATCTTTCTGTCTCTAACGCCTAAATGCTGGACCCAGCTTTTAAATTTACTTTCAAGCATATAATTTAATACATATTTGATGATCACATAAAAAAATGAGACATAGACATTAAGTAGTCAGTAAAAAAATGTTTTTAATATAACTTAACAAAAATCATTTGATAATATCTATATTTGGCAAGTGTGCTTAAAAATGCACACAGTTACATACTCTGAGTTAATAATTAAACATTTATTTAAGCAACAGCTTCCAAAGTTTACATGTATTTCCCACTCCAAGCCCATGATTTCCACTAAAATAAGATTAATTTGGAAGGTGGTTAAGTTGTAACATACAAATAACCTACAAAATTTTTTCATGTAAAAATTATTCTAAGATCATTTCAACATCTCTTCACACAAGCTGGAGCCCTCAGGGCAGCCCCAGCAATATCTCTGGTTAAGAATGCTTCATAGTTCCACATTTTTATTATTTTAAATGTTTACTGTATGTGAGTGCATAGGTGTGTGCACATGTATGCAGGTGCCTAGGTCCAACCATGCACACTTGTGGAGTCAGAGGACAATTTTGTGTTGTTAGCTTTCTCTTTCTATCACAGGTTCCAGAGATCCAACTTCCACTAAGCCCCTCACAGGCCCTCTTTACACTGATTGAATTCTGTGGGCTGCTTGGCTAGTTTGAATATTCTTTCTTCTCTCATTTTGAAAGTTCCTTTTTACAAATATACAATGTTAATTTTCAAGTCAACAGCTAACATTAAATTAAATGGAGAGAAACTCAAAGACATCCCACTAAAATCAGGAACAAGACAAGGCAGTCCACTCTCTCCATACCTCTGCAATATAGTACTTGAAGTTCTAGCAATAGCAATAAGACAGTATGAAGAGATCAAGGGGATTCAAATTGGAAAGGAAGAAGTCAAACTTTCATTATTTGCAGATGATATAATAGTGTACATACACGACCCCAAAAACTCTACAAGAGAACTCCTACAGCTGATCAACACTTTTAGTACTGTGGCAGGATACAAAATCAACTCCAAAAAATCAGTTGGCCTCCTATACACAAAGAACAAAGATACAGAGAGGGAAATCAGAGAAATATCACCTTTCACGATAGAAACAAATAGCTTAAAGTATCTTGGGATAACTCTAACCAAGGAAATAAAAGTTCTATTTGACAAGAACTTTAAGGTTTTGGAGAAAGAAATCGAAGAAGATACCAGAAAATGGAAGAATCTCCCTTACTCTTGGATTGGGAGGATCAACATAGTAAAAATGGCAATTCTACCAAAAGCAATCTATAGATTCAATGCAATCCCCATCAAAATCCCATCAAAATTCTTCACGGACCTTGAGAGAACAATAATCAAGTTTATATAGAAAAACAAAAAACCCAGGATAGCCAAAACAATCTTATACAATAAAAGTACTTCCGGAGGCATTACCATCCCTGACTTAAAACTCTATTACAGAGCTACAGAATTGAAAACAACTTGGTATTGGCATAAAAACAGAGAAGTCGACCTATGGAATCGAATAGAAGACCCGGATATTAACCCACAAACCTATGAACACCTGATTTTAAACAAGGGAGCTAAAAGTATACTATGGAAGAAAGTAAGCGTCTTTAACAAATGGTGCTGGCACAACTGGATGTCAACCTGTAGAAGAATGAAAATAGATCCATATCTATCACCATGAACAAAACTCAAGTCCAAATGGATTAAAGACCTCAATATTAATCTGGCCACACTGAACCTGATAGAAGAGAAAGTGGGAAGTTGTCTACAAGACATAGGCACAGGAGACTACTTCCTAGGTAGAACCCTAGTAGCACAGACAATAAGAGAAACAATGAATAAATGGGACCTCTTTAAACTAAGAAGCTTCTGTAAAGCAAAGGACACTGTCATTAAGACAAAAAGGCTACCTTCTGACTGGGAGAAGATCTTCACCAATCCCTCATCAGACAAAGGTCTCATCTCCAAAATATACAAAGAACTCAAGAAACTAGACACTAAGACTCTAATTAACCTAATTTAAAAAATGGGGTACTGAACAGAGAATTCTCAACAGAAGAAGTTCAAATGGCCAAAAGGCACTTAAGGTCATGCTCAACCTCCTTAGCGATCAGGGAAATGCAAATCAAAACAACTTTGAGATACCATCTTACACCTGTCAGAATAGCTAACATCAAAAACACCAATGAGAGCCTATGCTGGAGAGGATGTGGAGTAAGGGGAACACTCATCCATTGTTGGTGGAAATGCAAACTTGTGCAGCCACTTTGGAAATCAGTGTGGCGGTTTCTCAGGAAACTGGGAGTCAACCTACCTCAGGACCCAGCAATTCCACTCTTGGGAATATACCCAAGAGATGCCCTATCATACTACAAAAGCATTTGTTCAACTATGTTCATAGCAGCACTATTTGTAAGAGCCAGAACCTGGAAACAACCCAGGTGTCCCTCAAAAGAAGAATGGTTAAAGGTGTGGAACATTTACACATTGGAGTTTTACTCAGCGGTAAAAAAACAATGACATCTTGAATTTTGCATGCAAATGGATGGAAATAGAAAATGCTTTACTGCGTGAGGTAACCCAGACCCAAAAAGAGGAATATGGTATGTACTCACTCATAAGTGGATCCTAGCCATAATTAAAGGACTTTGAGCCTATATTTTGTGATGCTAGAGAAGCTAAGTAAGAAGGTGAACCCCAAAAAAAATCATATAGTTATCTTCCTGGATATTGGAAGTAGACAAGATTTCCAGGCAAAACTTGGGGGTGGGGGGTTGATGTAAGGGGAGATGGGTAGAGAGAAGGGAGAAGGGAAGGATTCAGGAGAGCTTGGGGAAATGGGATGGGTGGGATGGAGTAAGGGTGGATATGAGAGCAGGGAAGTAAATATCTTAATTAAGGGAGTCATTTTAGGATTTGAAAGAGACTTGACTCTAGAGGGGTTCCCAGGTGTCCATGGAGATGTCCCCAGCTAGTTCCTTGGACAGCTGAGGAGAAGGAGCCTGAACTGGCCTTGTCCCATACCCACATTGATGAATATCTTGCATATCATTATAGAACCCTCATTTGGAGATGGATGGAGATAGAGATTGAGACCCACATTGGAACACTGGACTGAGCTCCCAAGATCCAAATGAGGAGCAGAAGGAGGGAGAACATGAGCAAGGAAGTCAGGACCACAAGGGGTGTGTCCAACCCACTGAGATGGTGGGACCGATCTAATGGGAACCTTCAAGGCCAGCTAGACTGGGAGTGATGAAGCATGTGATCAAACTGGACACTCTGAATGTGGCCGGCAATGAAGGATGACTGAGAAGCCAAGGACAATGGCACTGGGTTTTGATTCTACAGTATGGACTGACTTTGTGGGAGCCTGGTTTGTTTGGATGATCACCTTCCTAGACCTGGATGGAGGGGGTTGGACCTTGGACTTCCCACGGAGCAGGGAACCCTGACTGCTCTTAGGACTAGAGAGGGAGAGAGAGGTGGGGAGGGGGAGGGGGAGGGAAAAGGGAGGCGGGGGGAGGTGGAAATTTTTAATAAATAAATAAATAAATGGAAGTGCACTAATAATATGAGTCTACCTTGCATGTATTCAGACTATACATCAACTCACCAAAGGACTCCAACATCTATGTACAAAAGTTTTTACTACTAACATCTTTTAAAATAGTCTAAACTAAAAACCTAAGTGCCATCAACTTTTACAGAGCATAAAGACTCACCTCAGCTCTTTTCAGCATTTCCCACTTATTCAGAATTTTCATGGCAAATACTTTATCTGCATTTTTCAGTTTAACTACAGCAACCTAGAAAAGATAAAGGAAATACAACTTTTAAAGTATTACAAAAAATGCTTTATCCATTTTCCTTTTTTCTCTCTGTAAGAAAAAATAAATACCAATTATCAATTATTTGAATGCCGCTCAATTCTAAGATCCTAAGTAAAATGTCAAATTAAAATTTTACATTAGTGAACATACGTCAAACAAGTAATTTTGTGAACCATGTCTGCCGCCTATTATACATTATATCTTCCTTTCCAAGTTTTCTGCCTAGGACTTTGAACTCATCATCTGTTGCAAAGAAACTGACCAAGATGCACAATATCAAATCAGATCTTACAGGACAATGCATGCCAGATTTCAGCATTGTATTAGGGGGATACAGTTATCAAAGGAGAGATATTCTATGGGAATGAAGCAATACATGGACTGAAGATAATAATGCTCTTTATTCCACATACTTTTACCCACTATGCATGTATTCCAACCCATCCTTTCTCTTCCTCCCCAATTCCTAGCAAAGAGCATTTATGACTAACAGTTTTACAACCTTCGGACTATAAAAGCAACAAATGCTCCTATGTTTCATATACCAAAAAACTGACAAATACTAATAAGACTATTCTCACTGTCAACACAATGATTACATTTCTGTTTCTACTGTTGTTTTCATTTAACTAGATAATCTTTTTAGGGCCCTTCCATTTGCTGGGTTTGTTACAGGGTTGAAACGAAACCACAGAAAAGGAAGGCAAATATTCACCAATAACATTTCTAGTAACTGAGAGGTACCACTAGAGAAAAGAATTACTATCTGTTGCAGTTTGGATATTAGGTGCCCCTCAAAAGTCCATGTGGTGGTAAAAATTTGGTCCTCTGTGCAGCACTTTGGATGATGGCAAAAGTTTTAAACGCTTGAAAATAGTGGGTACCTTTAAGCTGTTGCAGTCTGTAGGACCCTAAACTGACTTAAGCTATTTCCTCCATCCTTTTCTTCCTATCAGGTAGATGGTTTTATTTTCCACACACTCCCAGAACAATACGCTACTTCACTACAGGTTCAAAAACAAAGTGATAACTGATAACACACTAAAATCTCCAAAATCATAAGCAAACATAAATTTTCCTTTTTATAAGGGAATTATTTGAGGCATTTTATTATAGTACTTGGAAGGTAGCAACACAATATCCTAACAGGCAGGCAAGATCATGTGTACAGATCTTTACAGTCCAAAGGAAAATTTCCAAGAATAAAAAATGGGTTTAAATTCAAGCTCTAATTTTTTTTAATAAATTTTGATAGCAAATGTGCATATTAAAGACACTTTAAAAATTTATATCTAGATGAGATTGTCATCAAAGTAATATGATGACATAATTAAAATCAGTGCATAATATTTCGAAGTAGCTGTAATAAACAGTTATGCCATCAATTAAAATGGTGGAAGATGTGTTAGGAAGATATCTCAGTAAAAAACCTAGCCACACAAGTAAGTCTAAGAAACTGAGTTCAATTGATCCTTGTACCCCATGTAAAAAGCCTGATGTAGTGGTGCACATCTGTAATCTCAGTATTCATATGGAAAGAAGGGAGGTATGGATAGAACTGCCTGGAAGCTTCCAGGCCAGGTAGTCTGAAGTACACAGTATAGCAGCAGAAACAAGAGACCATGCATCAACAAGGTAAGAGCTAATGGCCAAGTTGTCCTCTAACCTCCATATCCCCAACAACATGCATCCAATGTCCGAATGCCAGGCACTATGCTAATATTTCACACAGGTCTAGAATCCCTCAAATGCAATTCCAAAAGCCAAAACATTTCATAACTCACTTAGCAGTGTATGTTAAAACCAGGGGAGTATTAGTATTTTGTTTTGGTTGGATTTTGTTGTTGTTTTAATACCTCTCACTGTAAAAATGAAAATGCTTAGCCAGGGAATGGTTATGCACGTCTTTAATCTCAGCATTTGGGAGGCAGAGGCAGTAGGATCTCTATGAGTTCCAGGACAGCCTGGTCTACAAAGCAAGTTCCAGGACAGCCAGGGCTACACAGAAAAACCCTGTCTCGAAAAACCAAAATGAAGTCTCACTTCAGAAGCATGTTGCGCAAATCTGCTTCGAGTCTTGACAGGGTGATGTATAAGAATGTACACTATATTACATTCCGAGATTCCCAGAATACTGAACTCAAAACAACTTGTGGGTTGTGTAGCTCCACAGAAGAGGTGAACAGTGATGTAGGCAGCATCCACTCAACACCCCTAATACTTAGCTAGCACTTACTGGGGTGTTAGGAAGGTGGTGGCAATATGAATTCTGAAGTCACTCTATGGTCTCAAATCTTGGTTTTATCATATAACTGTATAATTCCAGGTTTCTTATTTAAAGATTTGCCTTTTAATGTTTTAGTTTTCTCATCAATGGTGAGTTTAATAAATGTACTTACATTATATAGATATAGTAAAGATCAAAATAATTAATATGCATATAAAGTACTTATTACTACAGGGTCTGGAGTCCAGTTAAGTGTTCAATAGATGTGAACTGTTACCATGCATCTGTACCTCTTCTTTAAGCACCCACTCTCCCCACCTCCTAACCACCACTTGTTCATCTACCACTACTGCGTGACAGCCAGTATGTCTTACAATCCCTTTAGCACTAAAAAGAGAAACAGTTCTTCAATTTAGTTTTAAGTTTATAACTCTGACACTATACATATACACAGAAATTCCCTCAATTGAAAAAATTCCACATACAAATAAAAAGCAAGTTATAATGTTCAACATAGTATAGTTTTCAGTAGTGAAATACTAGAACTAACAAATATTCTTACAGAGAAAATAGACAAAATAAAATAAACCAAAAGAAACTATTCATGTGATTGAAGAAATAGTAAGAACATTATTTGATAGAGAAAAGCTCAAAGTCACCATGTGATGCAAAACGTAAGTTTACAAAACATTGTAGATCTTAATTATTTTTCTACATATACAGACATATAAAATAAATCATAAATTTCCAGGTCAAATATTAACATGATAGACACCAAAATCCTAAAAGATGAACTACTTCTAAAGTTCTTCAAAGAGGTATGACTTTTATTTGCCTTTCTACCTCTTCTGTGGGATACACACACCCCCATCTTGGTCATGACATGAACACTAGCTATATGTGTGGTAGTGTACGGTAAGGACCAACAAGAGACACAGTTCACACATGTGCATGGTAGGATGGAATACTAAGCTACTGCATAGCAGAAAACACTCTTCACAACACCTTAGAAATGAGTTGCCTAAAAACTTTTACAGAATGAACTGTGGTTTAGAGAAACAGCAGTCAACTCAAGAAACTCTCCTGAATTATCAAATTAATGCCATGATGAAAAAAGATTATGAAACTCCCATGTTGATCACTGATCTGTTCGTCTTTGTTCACACTACAAATCATTTCCATCTTTATGGCAGTAGAAAAACAACAAAAATAAAGCTGTTTCAGAACTCCCACTTTAGATCTTGTACGCTCAGGTAGCAAAGTCAAGAGGCACATAAGAGGATGGTGTGAATGGTGGTTTGAAAGAAAATGGCCCCCAATGGGAGTGGCACTACTAGGAGGTGTGGCTTAGTTGGAGTGGGTGTGGCCCTATTGGAGGAAGTGTGTCACTGTGGGGGTGGATTTTGAGGGCTCATATATGCTCAAGCCACACCCAGCATCTCAATTCACTTCCTGTTGCCTGCAAGATGTAGAACTCTCCCAGGATGTAGCAAACTCTCCAGCACCATGTCTACCTGCATACAGCTATATCCCACCATGATGATAAAGGACTGAACCTCTAAAACTGTAAACTGCCACCTCAATTAAATGTTTCCTTTATAAGAGGTGCCATGGTCATGGTGTCTCTTCAGAGCAATAGAAACTGTAGCTAAGACAGTATGTTACATTATTCCTTAGAATAGTAGTAGAGCACTTGCATAACATGCAAAAGGCTCTGGGTTCCATGGCCAACACACATACACACACAAACATGATCAAAAAGTATATTAGTATGGATTAAAAATTACAAATAAAAAGACACATTTCTAAAATATCAGTGATGATTTTAATAATTCCTGTAAACATTCTTTTGTGTTAGTAAACCTGTACACAGTACAAAAATGATCAACATGTGACAAATATACTAATAGGTGATTGAACACAACCTGTGTATTACTGTGTGTAATTATAGCTCTTAATAATGACCACACTATATAACATAGAATTTCAATATCTAAGCAGTTCTGCGTGTTTTGAATGGCATTCAGAAATGTAGCCTACCTCTGATATAGTCAGAATTCACCAAACCTTCTCTTCTGACCCAATATACCTTGCTGTTGTACCTTACCTGACCCTTCTATCTGTACTCATTCACAATCTATTCTCAATAGTACAAAACAATATGCTTAAATGAAGTTCAGATGGCATCATTCTTTTACTTCAAGCTTCTAGTGATTTTCTATCTCCCTTAAAGTTAAAAAGAAAAGTCAAAGTCCTTATCATAAACTATAAAGCCAGCTTACCTCCCTGGCCTCTACTCACCATTTAGCTCACCTTTGTTCAAGCCATAATGCTTATCTTGCACAATCTCGCCTTATGATTTTGCACTTGTTTTCTCCCAGACCTACTGAATACTCTATCTCCACAGAGCCACTGAGTCTGCTGTCTCAAACCCTCACTGAAATGTCACTATGTCCTTTGAACTTTCTATTACATTTCTTTGCTTCCTTTTCACCTTAATTCTCATAATTATTTAACATAATATATATACACTACATAGTCTAACAACGTACAAAACTTTTTGTCCCACAAGCTCTTTGGGAATAGGGATTTCTACCTCCTCTGTTCACTAGCATATGGTTAGTGCCTGAGAGTCATCAGGTACTCAATAAATACATTCTAGAAAGATGAATGCTTTGTAACTCATGTGGGTAAATATATACTGAACATTATAAGAGATCAATATTCTCACCTGCAAGTACACTATACA